CTTCAATTGTATGAATATACTTTTAAAGAAAATTATAATTAAATATAGCTTTGTAATGAAACGTACATTCTTTACTCTTTAAATCTTAACCACTTATTCAAATAGCTCCCTACGAGTGGAATCAGAGACAGTCCTGCTAGGTGTATGGTGTGTACATGCACGCGGGCTGCCAAATCCCAAGCGTGCTGATACTGGTCAATTTCAAATGCCTCTTTTGTCGCATCACTAATATACCTCAACAGACACGACAGGGTTGTTGTAAATTTTAAATGTTTCTCACCATAGCTGTAAAAATCTAAATATATTAAACTTAATAGTCATTTGTTTTCTAACTAATTTGTTTTAGGACCAAGTATCCTCAGAAATTTCCAAAATTTACAACTTTTTGGTCACTCTCATTGAACTGGAACAATTTCTGTCTTTATTACATTAACAATACGAAGAAATCTGTCTCCACTGTACTCGGCTAGAGCTGGTTCGGTTAAGTTTTTAAGTAAAATTCCATCTCTTTCAGCAGGGTTTTATTTATGTCCCCAATTCCCTAATCGCTTAATTATTTAACTACTTCTTAAGTAGAAATAAGTCGAAACCGGTTACTTTGAACTCGAATATTTATAGTCGCGGGAAAAAAGTGGAATGAAAAATTTTTATGACAACGGATACATAAATCGTAAATGTTAGGAAAATAAATTCTAGAGCTTTTTCTGTACCTCATGCATCTCTCTCATTCATTAAATTTAGTTGTAAATGATGCTGTCAAAGTAACAGTTAATTTTTTAACATTATACAAGAATTGTACACGTTTTTTTCTACATCCCCTTACAGATGGAATATACGAAATCGTAATATCACTGGTTTAACATTGAAATCCGTGAGTAATATAAAATCGGAGAGCGGAATAAAAATATCAAATCTTTTCATGGATTTTTTAAACTCCCGTCAACTATACAGAACTATCGTAAAAACATACCAGTAAATTCTTATCGGTTGGGTTAAGTTATAAATCTACTCGTGGTTCGCATAATCAGGCGAGGGCGGCTAACAGCCGAGAACCGGTCCCGGATACAATTGGATGCAGTATACGCGTAGGTCCTGGGCTTTCACTGGCTAAACCGGGTGAGGTTGGTGCTCTGTAAAGCACATGCGCAAATCTGGATTTTTGGATGCCGACGATACAGAGCTTCCACTTTGCCACTAATAGTCGAACGTACAATAGCGATCTTATCTTTTTTCTCATGTGTAGTATAGAAAATTGTAATAAGATACATAATGCGGTTATAATAAAATATTGTGTGATTATTTTCATATAATTAAAATTAATATGTATTTATTTTTTAGAAAATACAAGGGAAGCGGTGCATCCACCGCTTCCAATGACAACACGCCACTGGGTTTAATCCCACATCCCATGTCAGGAATGGAAAAGAGGCACTTGCATATGTGGATGTGGTGAGGAGGCATAAACGACATGTGCTTTACACAAAACACATTAATTATACAAAATTTCTTATATGATACTTTTAAATCCAGATACAGTCAATCCTAAATGGTTAAGTCCATTGAGTTGTTGATACAGAGTATCATCAAGTTGGGACTTCTAAGTGAGTGTAGTTGAAGTCACAGCCCTGGGGTAGTGCAAAGAGTCATCCGAACAAGCAGTACAAAGAGGGCAAGAGTCTGATCAGGTACTTAGAGTTAGACCAGAAAGTTGAAGCAAAGCAGAGATGGTTCTGCTGCTCAATGAGTCACACACAGATAAAAGTTCTATGGAAGGAGAGAGATTCTCCCTCTAACCTTAAATTCTGTATTTTTACAGTTTTTTTCTTGACTAATTGTTATTTCTGATTGGTCCTCAGTCCTCTATCTCAACTTTCCAATTGGTCCTTCTACTTTCTCCAGGTGAAAACAGAGACTAGTTTGGGTTGTGAGAAAGGTCCATTTCAGACGATGTTGGGTAAACACCATCCCTCGACTCTGATGTTGACAGAATGAAGAAACCTGCACTCATAATTTAACCCATTATTTTCTTTATTCTGTCAGTTCAGAAATTTAATAATCCAGCACAATATCTTATCCCAGGATATTTTTCCTCACCTCCATGTCACATTATTTAAGTAACAACATTTTTCTCTCTTATATAACCTACATTTTACTTTGTTCTATTCTAAACTTTGACAATTTTTAGATACATTACAGTATATGATCAATTCAATTTCAGAGTCCATCCGGAGCCTCTCACTTTCTACAGATCACATTCAGATCCTTTCCTAATATTTGTCGCCCTTTATCAATGTTACTGTCCATAGTCGATGTCTTCAGACATCCACTTTTTGGATCATTTTTAATTGACTCCTAGCCATCTTTGAATCGACTAAACCAGTCGTAACCATGTGCTCAGCTTAGGCAATCATCCCCGTATACAGTGGTATCTCAAGATACGAACGCCCCACCATACAAAATTTTCAGGATACGACACGAAATTCGAACATATTTTTGCTCCACAATACGAACAAAAACTCACCATATGACGTTACATTAGTTCGCAGTGCCATTTTTTATTCACTTCTGTTCATTTGTCTCAGTCCACATGTTTGCTTTGTCGCGAAAAGATCTCGCTCAATAAAGGAAATCTTGAGGTATTATCAGAAAGTGGCTGATTTTATTGAAAAGAAACATCCCGAAAAGGTTCACACTGGCCGTATTGCTGCTCGAAGTAATGACATTTGCCTAAGTCATTTTAGAAACATTTTAAAAAGTAGGAAAAGCCAAACCTCTTTGGATAGATATTTTACCAAGCAAACTCTATCCAGTGAAAGTGTTGGTAGAAGTGAAGGAAAGAAAGCAAAAAGCAGTGAATAAAAATTTAAAAAATGATATATATATATACCAATTATTTCATTATTCCAAAAATATATATATACTAGCTGCAAGGACTCGCTTCGCTTGGTTTTTATTTGTGGGCAAAAATGGGTGGGTTTTTATTTGTGTGGCTTCACTATCATTACGATAGTGAAGATTAAGATAATTACATTATAGCCAATCTTACCCATTTTCACAAAATGCAAGAATTAGGTCTCCCGTTTCCAGACGTTTCCAGAGAATTTTTACATGAGCATAAAAATATGTTCGATTTCCCGCAGAAACGTAAAAAACCGCCTGTAAATCTTGCATGCCGCTTTATATTAACACTTCCTGGTCCCGATTCTATTTCTGAACGTCTCCTGTTCATGTCCAGTCAAACGAACTATTTTCAACGTTTCTGGAACGTTTACAATCGTTCTATAATCAAACCAATATTCGAATTTTATGTTTGAATTAAATTCGAACAAATTCGAACAAAACATTCGAAATAGAAAGCCACCTTCAACCACTTTCAATCCCATATCTCCCGCACCCTTATAGCTATCGATACGCAACCCCCCTGATGCACGAATGGAGACTTGGGGCTACTACCACATACAAACACCATTCACGTGCAATGTGTAGTTTTGGTGGAAAAGTGAAATATAGGGACATACACATCCATTTTTATATATATATATATAGAATATAGATATAGAATACAGATATAGAATATAGAATATAGATATAAAATATAGATAGATATAGATATATATATTTTTGGAATAATGAAACAACTGGTGGCAGAGGAGGGGGAGAAGGGGAGAGAACTTAATATATATATATAAGTTTAGTATCATAAGTTTTAGTATCATTTCCCTTCTCCCCCTCCTCCGCCACCAGTTTACACCTCCACCATCGTCTATCCTCAAAGGTAAAGTGCAAATAAAACTACATTTTTTTTAAATCAATTATTATTCTATTATGGTTTTTTATACATTTACAACTACAAAATGCATTTTTCAGTGTTTTCCTTACTATAGTTATTTTTTTTAATGTAGACTACTACGTACTTAGCTTTAATTTGAGTGTGTTTTTCGTGTTGGAACGAATTATTTGGTTTTACATGTAATCGTATGGGGAAAAATTATTCACCTTATGACATTTTCATGATACGATCTCAGTTTCAGAATGGAGTAATTTCGTATCCTGAGGTACCATTGTACTTGTTTCAGTAACTTAAACATTTCAGTAAGTTTTCTTTAGTTTTATGCATAACTTAATGTTGTCATGTTGCTCCATTACAATTTTCTGATGGGGACACGAAATAACCCTTATGTTTCACACCACACAAAGAATTGTTATGAACCAATTCAAATATAATTGTACACAGTTGATAGAAATATAACCATATAGTTACATTTCAAGAGTAAAAGTTCGGTTTCATTTTAGACAACCTGTGTATACAGTAGTACTTTATACTCTAATACATTCTACGCTTTTATATGCGCCTTTAAAAAAAAAAAAAAAAAAAAACGTGTAAAATATTTTTATATTACTTTAAAAGCGTGTGTTTAAAATCTTATCCGGTAATATTCCAAATAAGGAAACGAAGTTAATTTTTTATTTAAAATTATTTATATTACACAATTAAAACTTATTGTGTCCGAAAACGTCTTCCTTTCGTCATATTCCTGAATAAAAACAAGTATAAAATGCTCTATTAAACCGAAAGTGTCGACATTTCTAACAATCACTGTAAATAGCAGTTAATAACAAATTAACGAACTAGATGGCGCTGATCGCAAGATTCATTCCAGGGGTAAGACACTCATGCTAATAGAACGAAACGTTTTTCTAATTATTGTCATCATGACATTACGGACATTGTATTCTAATGTCAATGTCTGTATTCTTAAAAACATTAAATAATTACAGCGATATAAAACAATTTTAAATATATAAGTTTATAGAATATAAGAAAATACGATAATGAATATTTCAGAAGAGATAAAATGCGTTCTTAGAAAGTCATTTAATTGATTAATCATTCATTATAAAAGTAAATAATACATTAATATACGTTTGAATCCCATACTTGTTCTTATTTTCAAATCTTCGTCTATTTAAAAATCAAAAATATTATACTTTTTATTTACCTCAAATTAATGCAATTAGCACACATCTAAAAGAACGCTCACTAACCGTTACCATGACAACGAACTAATAGCAGACGTACTATTTTACAAAACTTTCACTTAAAACTAGCCAAAATAGTATATATATTTTATATTTTATTTTTGCAATTTACCATTTATATTTTGCGATTTGCAATATTTTTTATTTTAAATTATTTATAAATTACTTATAAGTAAATTATTAAACATTTTGAAAATTTTAATGAAGTTATAAAATTTATTATAAATAAATTTTGAATATAATTCTATTCGCTGATAATTTGCATATGAAATTATTTAAATATTTATTAGGCTTGTTAATTAAATACAATTAATTAAGTTAATCGACTTAATTTTGATTTGAATACAAAAATAATTCTATTATTAATTAAACATTTGGCCGGAAGGCCAGCGGTCAAGGTGCAGCCTACCGCTCTGGGGGACCGGGGATGGAATCCGGACGGGTCGAAAAATCTTCAGAAATTTTTGGGGTATTTCAACTTGCTAAAAGAGGCCTCTTTTTTATACTCTTTTCGCCCTGTGGGCACTAAGAGGGCCTCTTAGAGCAGGTGCATTATGGGTTCAGCCAGGTTCACAATGGGGCGACCGGGTGGTGAAGGACGGGCCCAACATATCCGAACGGACAACCCCCGAAAAATTCCTGGGGATTCCTTGACCCTTCCGGATTCGATCCTGGGTCCCCAGAGCGGTAGGCCATCCGGCCGTCCACGTATGATTCTGATAATGATAAATATAAAACATGATATCGCATTAAGGGAATGTTAAACCCTTTTTGTCTTGTCCAACACCCTCTCTGCCTACTTGCAAAGGGGTCATCCCCCTAATATCTCTTGCCTGTATATGTCGAGATTCACAAAGATAAAAATTATTGGAATTTACTGATATTCTCAGAAAAACAAATACAGGACAAAAATCAGAATAAGAATGATTGAAAAAAATGGTTAAACTGAAAAGGGATTCTTTTGAAAAGGATTGTGAATACAGTAATACCCCGGCTTACGCGAACCCGGAGTTACGCGATTTTCAAATCTCATCGATTCGTCTTTTGTTTGAGCGCCACGCAACCCTTGATTACTCACTCCTCTTACACTATTGTTCAGCTTACATGTTCGGATGTGTCGCGCGAATCCACACATAGCTACAATTTATTTTGTGTTATTTATTTCTGTGTTTGTTATATCTACGGAGACTCGAGAGACTCTACTATGTCATCCAAACGAAGTAGAATTGATTCTTCTGCATCAAACAAGAACAGAAAAACTTTATCTTTCGAATGTAAAGTTAACATTGGGTATGTTCGTAAAGTCGAACAAGTTAAGCGAGAATGACGTCATCGTTATTCCTATTTCGTTAGACTTTTCGAACGATTCGTTACTAACGCATTTAACTCGTTTGACTTTACGAACGTACCCATTATTAAAGACTTCGATACAAAAATGAAAATTTGTGAATTGGCAAAGAAGTTTGATACCGGAATTGTCGGTCAGAACAATTATAAAAGGCAAA